GTAAGACAAAGTGAAACAAATGGAAAATTCAAAAGCTGAATTACTGAATACAAGGCACATTGCTTTCGAGACATTCAGGACGTTTGGAAATCGGGTGGATTTCGAGCGGCAGCATTAGATAATCGCAAAAGTTTCAGCCAAAAAAAAAGGAATGAATTCATTATCTTGGTGGTACAAAATAGCGAAATTTTCTAAAAAACATCGAAAGATTTTTGACTGAACTTTTCTATTTCTTATACTGTTTACTGCTACTGGAGCAGATGGTCCACCTGGCCAGCGGTATAATACATTTGGTACATATCATCAATGTTACTAAAAGACTGAGCACAATGAGGGCTATTTCGAGTGCGCAGGTCACCACTTCCGTTGTTGAATTCAGACCATCAAGCCACTGACGTGGGTCAAGCTTCTGCAAAAAATTCTCGAATCCTCGCTCATTACAGCCCGGACAGTCACCGATTCCAGCTTGCCAGCGATGCGCCACATGCCGCTCACGCAGTGGTGATGCCTCGTACCTGTGTATTTATAATTGGAGCAGTTACTTCATGTCATTGTGAATAAGATATTTTTGATTGTCCATTCTAATCGATCTTAATTGTTCCAGAAAATGTCATAATCAGAATTTTTAGGCGAAAAATATGCAAAATAATTTTTCCCGCATTCGTTTTCACAGCATTTGACGAATTCTATTGATGAGAAATAAAGAGAAACACTTTGTTTAAAGATATTAATTTTTATTAAAATTTTCTCTGTAGTGCATTTTTTCTGAAAAATATGCCTTTTGATAAACATAATTAAGGTTATTATATCGTAAACTCTTTCTAGCCACAGAATGCTTGGGCTGTTTCTATTCAGCCTTAGAAGGAAAGACATAAGCGAAGACTCACTTCAACCATTTACATTGTTCTGCATTAGCATCACCGGCTGGTTGCAAGCAGACGTAACGATCGGAGGTTATCCCTGGAGGAATTCCCCCTACTGTTGCGATAAACCTCGTCCTTGTTGCTGTGCCAATCTCCACACTGAAACTCCAGTCAGTGCCCGATTTATCCTCCGATCGATGAACGTAGCCTATCAAGGTACCTTTACCGCCCTACAAATTGTAAAAGTTGTACTAAAACTGCTTCTGGGAGTTAAATTAAAAATCCAAATGACAATTCTTTGTTTAACTGCTTAATAAGGTACTGCAATAATGAACATGTAAGGAGAGCAGAGTTCGACAAAGCACCGCGTAGCGGCTTACCAAAATAGTTAAATTGAGGAACCGATTGGACTGCTCATCCATGCGAATTGTTCCGTTGAATGTCAGAAGATGTGATGCGTGGCGAACAATTAAAGGCCTACAAAGGTTGAATAGTAGAAATGATTGATGAAAGAATTTTTTGTTAGGTAGTGAGGAGTGTGATTCAGAGATATCCATGAGCTGAGAGCGTTTTGCAGATAAACATGAACCGCGAGGAACCGAACCACTCGTCTTCACATTCGAACACGATGTAGCAAACCACTGCACCACCGATTTTTGTGCCACCAGCTCAACAGCTGGGGACATGTATCACCTCCATACATACTCTAGTTCGGTTGCTGCATTCTGTGCAACACACCCTTTGACAACTGCAGGTTTTTCGTGGAACTTCGATGACAGCAGTTGCTACGGGAATTCTTACCTGGTACCGCTGCTGATACTGACGTGTATTACGGTACCTTCAGCATGAACCACTCGAATCACCCGATCGTCGCTTGAGATTTCAGCTCGTTCGATCCAATTTTGTTCCTCTACCCGATATCCGAGATCCAATTCTGAGATCCGATCCCCGTGCATCACAAAGTATTCGGCATTGTATCGCGTCAAATAACGCTGCTCTTTGCAATTCTCCACTGTTACGTGCTGCAAGTGGAAACTAGCATACATGGGCATTCCTCTGTTTCCAAAAAGTCTAGTTACGGAAATTGGTAGGAAGAGCTTTTCTGCTGACAATCAAATTATTTTTTTCTTTTTTTGAATCTGCTCTCCTTGAACTGATATTTTCCAAGAAATACCTGGGAATCAGTGATTTTAATAATTCCATTTCTGATAAACCACGAGCTTCCATCTTTCCGTAACCAGCCTAGCTTATGGATATCGGTCTCGGTAGGCTCATTTAATCTTACTCCCATCATCAGTGATCGCTTATCGTTCGAAAAATAATACATTCCTTCGGACATCTCGCGAACAGCACGGCCAGTTGTTGCTCGAATTTCCATCTGCAGCAAAGCAAAGTTCCAAAAACTTCAAGTGTGAATCTCAGAAAAAAACTTAAGCGCTTGATAACTTGAAAAAAGATACTATGCATATTTGTTGGGGCATTTTTTGTGTTTATGATTCTGCCTATAAATTTTAACTCCCAAATAGGAGAATTATTAAGCTGAATTCACAATTATGGATGGATGGATTTTCAGACGTAAACTCTACGTTCACGTCTCTTCATTCTCATATACGGACATGTAAAAGATAATTTGGTAGGAGAACAGTTTTCGAGTTAGGCAAGCAAAAAAATTTTCATCACAAAAACGCAGAAATGAAAAAATTTCATTGCTAGATGCTTTTTTTTTGATAATCAAGGCACTGCCTAGCAACTGCCTTTATTAATAGCTTTCCTAAACACCGTGGAACCAGCATGTCAATTCCAGGATGCACA